TTTGGCCAAATATTTTATACACAAGTGTAAATTTTGTAAGCATAAACCTTTCTTTCAGATTTTTCTTGAAGATCTAAATCTTTATATGTCTTTGATTTCCGAATGTACAAACAAAAAAGCTGTAAAAACAAAAATTTAAATTTAAGAAATGTAAATTTCTGTTTTGATCCCTGGCATGTAATGTAATGTAAATGTTTCAGTTTGTTAATAAAAAAAAAAATTATAATACAAAAATATCCGATGTCAGAAAGTGATTAATTTTTTTTTAATTGTTAAATTTTTGGTATTTGTTATGCAGTAAGCCCAGAGATTGTTGTGTACACTATGATTTTATATAAAATTAACTTTAATGTGTGATAGGAATAAAACGTGATCATAAACGAATGATTTCTCCACTCAAATGAATGGCGGCTTGGACCCGGAAACAGTATTACATACATCACAAACTCGTCACCACTTAACAAGCGAATAGTTTTGAATCGGCCCGCCTTTTAGTACAAGAACCAATCAGCGGTTGCTGTACTAACATTACTCCAGGGGAGTTTCTCCCAGGACCAGATGTAATTTTCTGCAGATTTTGTGTGACTCAAACGTTTAGAAATGAAACTAGATCAGAGACAGCTGTTGTAAAACGTAATTGTTGTTTCATAATATGAAACTTAATCGTAAACTTGGCAAGCAGTTTTGGAGAATTTAATGATTCCCTAACAGAATGCCCGAGCATACAGCCCGCTAGGCGTTACAAAGCAGGCCACCGAGTGAACTGACTAACGTTAGCCATATCCCTTTATTCAGTAACAGACGTTGTTAATGTGAGCTTTGTATCTTTGAAATTACCTTATTTCTCAATCTGACTATTCATTCGGTCGTAATAAGATGCTAAAGGCTGAAGAAAAGTTTAGTACTTACAACAAATGCGCAGACAAACGCAGAAAGTTGGCTTTCTCTTCAGTCGTCTGTTTAGAAAATTGTATATCCGAAGTCAAAATGCTATATGCAGGTATTAAACTTTAATGACTATTAAAATATTGCAGCGCGATAGACGTGACAAACATTTTATGACACTCAACTTCCGGAAAGGGGGCGGGAATCAACATCTCAATCAGTTTTTAAAGAGAGAAAAATGAGAACGGCACGTTTTTGTTTACTTAAATAGACGTTTGACCCATACAAATGTTAAGAAAATACCATAGTATAACATATAAGCTACAAATGAGGAAATTGATTTGAACAATAACTGATAAAGCATGAATGGCAGGCTTTTGTGAGTTATTTGTAAGTTAATATATATATATATATATATATATATATATATATATATATATATATATATATATATATATATATATTCAAATATGTATTTAAATATGTAAGCTAATATTTATATGTAAATCTGTATTTTTGCAGAAAATCTACAATATATTATTGACCTTAATCGTTGTGAATCTTTTTGGCTCTAGACTACCGGTCTTATTCACTTCCATTCATTTTTAGACATGAAAACAAGTCGGTTATGCTTTTTGATGTTGCAAACTGATATTTTCTTATATTATTCTGCTTCTGTATAGTCATGAACACACTTGCTTGTAGAGCAAGTAGTTTGACCGTGTTATTTCAGTCTTTTCTCCCAATGAATCGGTCCTGGAGGGTCAGTGTCCAGCAGATTTTAGCTCCAACTTGCCTCAGCACCTGCATGGATGTTTCTAGAAAGCCTAGAACAGGGATGTCCAAACTCTGTCCTGGAGGGCCGGTGCCCTGCAGAGTTTAGTTCCAACTTCCTTCAACACACCTGCCTGGACGTTTCTAGTATATCTAGTAAGAGCTTGATTAGCTGGTTTAGGTGTGTCTAATTGAGGTAGGAACTAAACTTTGCAGGACACCGGCCCTCCAGGTATGAGTTTGGACACCTCTGGCCTAATAAGAGCTTGATTAGCTAGCCCAGGTGTGTCTGATTGGGGTTGGAACTAAACTTTGCAGGACACCGGCCCTCCAGGACCGAGTTTGGGCACCCCTGTACTAAAAAAAAAATCACAAAAACAAGGGCACTTCTGCATTAAAGAATAAGGTCAATATAAAAGATGTGTGTTGCATCTCCCTACTTTAAATAGTTGTGTATTTCTATGTCATTTTTTATTTGATTGCATCATTCACATTGATTTGTAGGATTGTTGTTCTTACAGTAAGTCTGTAGCTTTGTTTTTGCATATACTTCTTTTGTTTCAAAAAAAAAAAAAAGTTTTGGTTATTTTCATAACTGTTTAAACTAGTTATAGTTATAGCAGGGGTGCCCAAACTTCTTCTTAAAAAGGGCCAAAAATCTAACTTGATTGAGAGCTGGGGGCTGACTATATACCAAACCATATTACAATAAATTTGCAAAGGGGATTTCCTAATTTGTTTGGTAATATTTTTAAAATAAAATTAGAAGATGTTGCTTTAAATCATATTAACTTATTACAGTACAAACACAAACAATTCCATTAGTAACAGAACAGAGTTCATTGCTGAATACATTAATGGAGTTGCTCCTGTCTTCGCCTTGATTTGCTAGCAGATGACTTGTGCATTTATTCTATCTGTCTAGTGATAACATTTACAGTTTAAAATTAATTCATTTACAACATTTAATTGATAGGCTTTTTTTGTAGCTCAGCAATAAAACAAAGAAACAAAAGATTAAATTGGAAATGACGATCTCTGTCAAAAGCGTTCGCTCCAACCCTCTCAATCATTCTCCCTCTCTTTTCAGATGGAATAGTGGGCCATGGGTAGAGCCAGACAGAATCTGCGGAAATTTTTTCCTATTTCTGCTGAGAATTTTGGTAAAGGTCTGCGGATTTCTGCAGAATTATTTTGGGAGTATCATAACTAAAACCTTAAAATATGAAATAAAAAACATATTTTTTAACTTCTATTTAATGTTTAAAATGCAAATCCAAATAGATTCACTTTATAATATATCTAGTAAAAGAATAAATCCGATGAACATTTTCACAATAGTCAATAATATTACTGAATTAAAAAACTGGATAAATATAGATTTACACACATTTACTCAAGTAAATAAACAGAATTAATGATGGGCTAAAAATCAGTGGAATTTTGTGCGCGCAGATACCGAGTGGACGTAGCCATGGGCCAACTTTGGCCCACGGGCCCTACTTTGAGCATCTCTGGCTTATAGAAACCAAAATCACTGCAAAAAACAATTTCTCAAAAAACTGTACAGGAACTAATGCACTCCAGAATGTTCATCAACCAATCAGAATCACTCATTCAACAGCCCCTTGTTCTATTAATAAACAAATAAACTCAACATTTCACAATATTACCCATGAGTAAAGTATCTCATGCCAATGCAGTTTGCATTGAACACACCTAATAAGCTAAGATGTTTGGTTCTCAAGAAAGATACCAGTTGTTCAAATGCAAACAGAAGGGAGTGTTTTACTTCATCTTTCCAAATCAAACACACACACACACACACACACACGTCTTATCTTGCTCAAGTAGGCAAAAGAAACATTAAAAAAAAACTAATACAGAGACCAAAATAGGTTGATAATAAAATGTCACTTTAAAAACCAAAATAAAATACAAACATAAATTATACAAACATAAAATATTTGATATCCTTCATAAAATCCTAAAACTACTATTAATTATCTTCATACTGTATGTTTTCATAGTTTAGTGCACAACAATAATATTCATGTACAGTATACGTAGTAGCAAATACAAGTGAAGATACAACGGCGTATCAGGTCAATAAAACTCAATATTAAATCAGTCACATTATTTTAGTTCATCACACGCTTGTGAACATTACACATATAAGGCAGCTAAGATATTAGATGCATTGGCTACATATATATATATATATAACATTCATGAAGTTATAATACTTAATACTTATACACACACCGGCCACTTTATTAGGCACACCTGTCCAACTGTTTGTTAATGCAAACTTCTAATCAGCCTATCAGATGGCAGCAACTCAATGCATTTAGGCATGAAGACATGGCCAAGACGATCTGCTACAGTTCAAACCAAGCATCAGAATGGGAAAGAAAGGTGATTTAAGGGACTTCGAACGTGGCATGGTTGTTGAAGCCAGCCGGGCTGGTCTGAGTATTTCAGAAACTGCTGATCTACTGGGATTTTCACGCACTACCATCTCCAGGGTTTACAGAGAATGGTCTGAACAAGAGAAAATATCCAGTAAGCGGCAGTTCTGTGGGCGCAAATGCCTAGTTGATTCCAGACTGGTTCCAGCTGATAAAAAGGCAACAGTAACTCAAATAACCACTCACTAAAACCGAGGTCAGCAGAAGAGCATCTCTGAACACAACACATCCAACCTTGAAGTGGATGGGCTACAGCAGCAGAAGACCACACCGGGTGCCACTCCTGTCAGCTAAGAACAGGAAACTGAGGCCTCAATACATACACGCTCACTGGACAATAGAAGACTGGAAAAACGTTGCCTGATCTGATAAGTCTCGATTTCTGCTATGACATTCAGAGGGTAGGATCAGAATTTGGCATCAACAACATGAAACCATGGATCCATCCTGCCTTGTATTAACGGATTAGGCTGGTGGGGGTGGTTTAATGGCACACTTTGGACCCATTAGTAGAAATTGAGTATCGTGTCAACGTCACAGCCTACCTGAGTATTGTTGTTGACCATGTCCATCCCTTTATGACCACAGTGTGCCCATCTTCTGATGGCTACTTCCAGCAGGATAACGCACCATGTCAAAAAGCTCGAATCATCTCAGACTGGTTTCCTGAACATGACAATGAGTTCACTGTAGTCAAATGGCCTCCACAGTCACCAGAGATCAATCCAATAGAGCACCTTTGGGATGTGGTGGAACGGGAGAGTAGCATTATGGACCTGCAGCCGACAAATCTGCAGCTGCGTGATGCTCTCATGTCAATATGGAGCAAAACCTCTGAGGAATATTTCCAGTACCTTATTGAATCTATGCCATGAAGGATTAAGGCAGTTGAACACAAAAAGGGGTCCAACTCGGTACTAGCATGGTGAACCTAATAAAGTGGCCGGTGAATGTAGATAATACCTCTAAATGTTTTTTTTTTTTTCAAAAGCAGGTAATACAAACAGTAAAGCAAAGCTAAATAAATAATCTGTAAATAGGTGATCTGTAAAATTAGAGAAATACAGTAGGAACAATTGGGAAAAGTGGGACATTTCCAATAAAACTATGCGAAAGGGAGGGTCCCTCCTTTAAAGATGACGAGCTTTTAAAGAAATGACCTGGTAGCTCAGTGTAAACATGGTTAATGCAGTTCTGAATACTGAATTAATGCTGTGAAGCTAGAGAGTGTGAAATCACTGGCTTTCGTGAACGATGATATCGGCCACACCGTGAACCTGCGTCAGCTGTTTACAGTCCAGTGACGCCACCAGCTTCCTCTCGCCAGCTATAGATGGGATGAAGTGCTCCGTCACCATTACTTTACCATGCTTGCCCACATCACTAAGAAAAATAGAGAAAACCGAGAGATAAATGCAATGTTCTGGAGAACAAAATGTGTTATGTAAGCATTTTAAAGGTCCCGTGAAGTGCTTTGAAACGTGTATTTTTTTTATTCAATGTATGACGCCAGTTAGCAGTAACTTTGCTGCCAAAATTTTCAATCAGGTTTAGATCAGGACTCTTGACTGGACATTTCATTATTTAAGCTTTCAGCTTTAAATGACCCATGCTTTAAAAGTGCTTTAAAATATGAATTTTTTACTCTGTTTGACGTAATCTAAACCGAAACATGAAGAGAGGGTGGGACATAGTGTAGCTCCTCCCCTTTATTAAAAACAGCCAACAGTGTTTTGTTTTATCACAGCTCTGCCAGTGAGAGTGGTTGAGCTCAAGCGCATCAAATGAGAAGCGTCTTGAAGGGGGCGGGGCATGTCGCATACTAGGGAGCATTTGATTGGTCACAATTTGATGAGAAACTGAAGTATGAGGTGATCCATTTAGGCATAAGTAACAAACTACAAGCTGTACATGTTTACTAGGGCTGTCAAAATTAGTGCGTTATTAATTTTAACGTGATTAATTTTAAATATTAAACACGTAAAAAAAACCACGCAAATAACGCATTTGCACTTTGTTTTTTATTTTCTGTTGTGTGTTCAGGGACAGTGCGTGCATAGAGGCGACCTAGGCGGCCGCAGAATAGCGAGCGAACCCCCTGGTCTTCACTTTCATCCGCTAAACCCACCCTCTCCCTCACGGTCCTCGCTTTCATCAGCAAACCGGTTATTTTCTTTTTCACTTTCGGGTTGAGGGCGGCGTGATTGCCGTTTGCCTAGAGCACCACTTCAGACCTTCCATGTGTTTAACGTGCATAGATAATAGATAATAGAGAATAGATAAGACCAAGGACGCGCTTTTAGAAGGAAAGTTTCAGTATAAAACAATTAATATCGCATCAGCAGGCTATTCTGCGTTTCCTCCACAATTTCATGCAATATCTGGTGTTTCATTTATATTCTTTAGACTTTAACTGCAGTTCAGTCTGGCGCAAAATGGCTGCCGTCACATCAACTAGGTGGAAGCTGCACAATGGTGGTGGATGAGGAGGTCCCCCCATTGTGTAAAGCGCTTTGACTGCCCAGAAAAGCGCTACATAAATGTATGGAATTATTATTAGTATTATTCAGCAGTTCACTCTCACTCTGTATACTTTCATTCAGGATGTTTTAATAGAATTAAATACCGCATGGCGAACGGAAAGAACAACCTCCGCATTTCGGAACTCGCGTGATGCTTTAAGGTAAACAAAAATCGCTGCTTACATGGTAGACTCTATTTTTTTTTGTTTTTTTAAAGATTAATTTTTGGCCTTTTTGCCCTTTATTAAGTGGATAGGATAGTATTTCAGATAGGAAGCGAAGTGGGGTTAGGGACGGGAAATGTCCTCGAGCTGGGATTTGAACTCGGGACGCCCTGAAGTGCTACAGCACCATATGTCGATGTGCTAACCACTAGGCTATTGTGCCGACCATGGTAGACTATTAAACAGTATTATTTTAATCATAAAGGCGGAGTCCATTGGTGTCCATGTAAATGTACTGTAGTGAAAGTGGCAGAGGAAGTCGCAAGCTGACAAAGAAAGCCGTATTCTCTGCCTTTAAGCTGCTTCCATGAGCTCTCACATTTCATAAGTTTCACGTTGCTGTGTCAGAATCCTTGCTTGTAAAATACAGCTACAGCTTAGAACATTTAGTTTAAGCAAATTTGATGAACGCGATCGTGCGTGTTGATGAATCTGAATGTGTGTGTGTGTGTGTGGGTGCAGTCTACTTAGAATTCAACATGGAAATCATTTTTGTTTGTTACTGGCATTAATTGTTTTGAAATTCAAATGGCACTTACATGTCTGTGTTTTTATTTCTGTAATAAATATGGCATTTTGTGATTAATCATGATTAATTACAAAAAAGTGTGATTGATTACTTTAATTTTTTAAATCATTTGACAGCCCTAATGTTTACATCAGGTTTATATCCCCTAAACGCAAATTGTGTCACTGTTTTGGTGGCACTAGCTTATAGATATACTATATAATATAATTAACGATTATATAACAATGCTGATACTAACATCTAAAAAACTTTATTTACATTTCATGGGACCTTTAAAACCGTCAAAGACACAAGAGCAATGGCTAAATCAACCAATAAGATTGAGGGTTTTGTAGTAATTGATTTTGAGCTGTGGACAAACATTGACAGAAATGGTATTCAGAATTGGGTTGTGCAGTATTTGCTGTCTGTGGTTTCCATCACTTTTGTTTAGATACTATGCTTAGTAAAGCCTTGAAATTATTCACACCCCAGGCAAAGAGCTTATAATTACCAAGAGGCGACACTCTAGTGTAAATTGGGAAACAGCCACTAGAGGGCGCAGAGGCCATTTTGGAATGAAAACTTCAATAGAACAACAGCATATTATAAGTGTGTGAAATAAACTATTAAAAGTGCTGATGATTGTGATAGTAAGTGTTGTATTGTCATCTTTCAGGTTGTAGCTCAGCTTTAATTCGCTTTTTAAATAAATAAATAAATAAAAAAACAAAGCAGCTGCTTGCCATCGTGGCAGTGATGATATCCAATGGACAGCCGATCGCTTTCACTCCAAAATGGCGGAATCCGGGGCTGTTGCAGGGCGCTGCTGTTGCAATGGAACGTTCTATTGAGTGTCGCCTCTTGGTCATTCTAAGCTTTTTGGCCCAGGCAAATTTTGACCAAGTTTTTGTTCAAACGTAAATAAAAGCTGATAAATATAACAAGTCAAGTATAAATATAGTGTGTCGAGAGTAAACCAGCCTTAACTCATCAGATTGAAGACTCTTGAGTAGACTCTTACCCGACTTTGATGGGATGCAGGTCTCGGAGCCCCAGTCCTTCCACTCGGACAACCACATTACGCAGAGTGCAGGGCAGAGGATTGGTGAAGCTGATCTTGGCAGACGCCTCTTTACCCACATACGCCTCTCCGATGGGCTACAATGACAAGCAAAGCAATCAAATATTCAGCCAAAATCTCACTCTAGAAGCAAACAGAGCTCTATTTTGTTTAAAAGCAGAGCACACTGTAAAAAAAACACACAATGGGTTCCACACAATCGATTTGTATTGGCAAGGAATTAACATGAAGGAATTAAGTTAACTTATTAGTTTGAACATGAAACATTTATGTTGTCCCCAAAAAAACCTAAAGGATTGTGTTGTTTCAGCTCAGTTTAAATAAGTAGTTTGAACAAAGAGCAAATGTCTTCTTCTTGTGTGTGTGTTTCTGGAAGTCTCACCTCAATCTGGAGGTCAGGTGTGCGGAGCCTAAAGGATGTCTGGTTGGCCAGAACCTGCTGGGTCTCACTGACCCTTCCAGACAGAGTCAGCATGAGCGCAGCCTGATCCACCAGCTGATTCTGGTACTGTGTGTAAGGCAGGGTCCACTCGATGACCTTTTCTGAAGGACAATATAAAAGAGGGAATTTCAGCAATGGCTATAAGCTTTACGCATGAAATTCCTTAGAATATACTGCATATTTAACCCACACACACACACACACACACACACACACACACACACACACACACACACACATATATACAGTTAAAATCAGGATTCTTAAACCCCCTTTATTTCCCAAATGATGTTTAACAGAGCAAGGAAATGTTCACAGTATGTCTGATAATATTTTTTCTTCTGGAGAAAGTCTTATTTGTTTTATTTCGGCAAAGATGAAAGCAGTTTTTAATTTTTTAAACACCATTTTAAGGACAAAATTATTAGCCCCTTTAAGCTATATTGTTTTCTGGTAGTCTACAGAACAAACCATCATTATACAATAACTTGCCTAATCACCCTAACCTGCCTAGTTAACATAATTAACCTAGTTAAGCCTTTAAATGTCATTTTAAGCTGTATAGAAAGCAAAACTAAATTTGATAACAAAATATATATAAACATCATTTGGGAAATATTTAAAAACGAAAAAAAAAAATCAAAGGGGGGTTAATAATTCTGACTTCAACTGTGTGTGTGTGTGTGTGTGTGTGTGTGTGTGTGTGTGTGTGTGTGCATCCGTGTGTGTATGTATGTATATATATATATATATATATATATATATATATATATATATATATATATATATATATATATATATATATATATATATATACAGCTGGCGACACAGTAGGTAGTGCTGTCGCCTTACAGCACGAAGGTTGCTGGCTAGGTCAGTTGGCGTTTCTGTGTGGAGTTTGCATATTCTCCCTGTGTTGGCGTGGGTTTCCTCCGGGTGCTCCGGTTTCCCCCACAGTCCAAAGACATACGGTACAGGTGAATTGGGTAGGCTAAATTGTCCGTAGTGTATGAGTGTGTGTGTGTGGATGTTTCCCAGAGATGGGTTGCCGCTGGAAGGGTATCCACTGTGTAAAAAACATGCTGGATAAGTTGGCGATTCATTACGCCATGGTGACCCCAGATTAATAAAGGGACTAAGCCGAAAAAAAAAATTAATGAATGATTATACAGAATTATTTGCCCCCCTTTGATTTTTTTTTTTCTTTTTTAAATGTTTAACAAAAGCAAGGACATTTTCATAGTATGTCTGATAATATTTTTTCCTATATTTGTTTTATTTCGGCAAGAATAAAAGCAGTTTTTAATTTATTAAAACCATTTTAAGGACAAAATTATTAGCCCCTTTAACCTAAATTTTTTTCAATAGTCTACAGAACAAACCATCGTTATACAAAAAACTGGCTAATTATCCTAACCTGCCTAGTTAACATAATTAACCTAGTTAAGCCTTTAAATGTAACTTTAAGCTGTATAGAAGTATCTTGAAAAATATCTAGTCAAATATTATTTACTGTCATCATAGCAAAGATAAAATAAATCAGTTATTAGAAAGGAGTTATTAAAATTGTTTATTATTATGTTTAGAAATGTGTTGAAAAAATCTTTTCTCCGTTACATAGAAATTGGGGAAAAAATAAACAGGGGGCTAATAATTCAGGAGAGTTGATTGTTCTGACTTTAACTGTATTTACACACATAAATATAAAATATATATATATACACAAAACAAAATTTATAACCAAATAATGATTTTTTAAAAGTAACTCAAATATTATTACTTTTTTTTTTGGTAATGCACTATTTTATTGTTACTTAGAAAAGTAATGTTATTACGCAACCGTGCATTACTTGTAATGCGTTACCCCCAATACTGCAGGTGTGCTATTTTTGAACAAACGTCATGAACTGACCTTCCTGTGGCATGAGCTCCACACTGAGCTTGTCCTTCTTCACGGTGTCCTTCAGCACGCCGGTGTAGTACATGACTGCCGCCTGGCTGTGAAGGGTGGTTCTGCGTGGCTGAGAGCTCATGTTCTTCACCACAATCTTCAACTGAGCATCTCCACCCATACGAGGACCTTCTCCCTCCATCCGCACCTCCACCTGCACGTCCTCCGCCATGGCGCTCGAGTACACATCCGGCTTACTGCCATACCGACAGGCCGTTTCCACCGCGATACGCTCCTCCTCTGAGCCTGAGGACGCAGATCAAAAAAATCATCAATATCGAACAATCCTACATAAACATAAATGTACAGTGTTTATATTGCTAATACACAATGTTATTATTTAGGTAAATAATTAACCTGTGCAAATTAACCCTCTGCTAACCTAATTTTGAAGGCTTTGCCTCAATATTTGTAACCATGCGCCTCTTACCGCTAGTTTGCTAAAAGGAAAAGATGCACTAAAAGAAAGTGCCACCCCTACTCAATATTTCGTTTCAGTTGGAAGTTCACCAACATACTGAAGTGAAAAAGTCTTCCATAGTAAGAAAAAAACTATTGCTGACAGCTTTCAGTCATGTGAGCTGTGCAGAGACCTTTCAGACAAAAAAAAAAACAATGGGCCATAATGGCAGCTACACTGGGAACTAGAGGTCTGCATAAATTTCCGAATAAATCGCGGGAGCGGTCGGTAACGGGTTTAATTTGGGACGGGATCGGGCTGTCTAGCAATATCGCATATATTGCTATGCGAATGAGAGAGAGAGAGAGAGAGCTTTGCCTGTGTGTGTGCTTGGTGCTTGTGTGTGTGTATGTAAGTGCGCGCGTCTGGACTGTATAGCTGGGTGATTTTCGGTTTTGTTCTCCCCTGCTCTTTAGCGGGATTGGGCGCGGCGGGCAGAAAACGGGGCGGGTTGGGCAGCGGGACAACAAATTCTTAATATAAGCGGGAGCGGTCGGGTTCGGGCTAAAACCTGGCGGGTGCGGGCGGGAACGTGATTCAGCAGAGGTCATCATCACCGGACTATAGACAGTACATCATCCACTGACTGATTAGCACTCACACCTGCAGCACATCCCCTAATCACCTGGCAACCGCTTATAAGCAGCACACTCACTCAGTATCATTGTGAAGTCTTGTTCTGCCCTGGCTAACACTACTGAGCGTTTCTCACCCTTGCCTGCTTTCCCGTTGCTTACCTTGCTTTAATTATCGACCTTGTCCTGCCTGCCTGCCTGCCGCCTGCCTTGTACCTCAGCCTGAATCCTGACTCTGATCCACGCCGCCTGCCCTTAACTCTAGCCTGCACACCGACTTTGATATTCTCCACCTGCCTCTGACCCATGCCTGCATACTCATCCTGTGTTTACCTACCGCCAGCCCTTCGACCTTTTACTATTGTGTTTGATGTGAGTTCGCACACGCACTACATCTGTGTGCTTGTTGTTATTAAACTGTGTTTAATAAATATAATGCAAATGGATCCCTCTGTGTCAGCCACTTCGTTACACATAGAAACACAGCACAAACCGGTCATTATCTTTTTCAATCAACGAATATTTTGATCACATATCAGCAGAGATATGATCACAAACTGTAAATTGTGGGCACTTGTGATCCATATTTTGCACCGGCAGATGTTTTTAAGTCATTAAAAGCCATCATGTCTCTGTCAGAGCTCTAATTTAGCGATGTTTACATCTATCTTGTAGATATTCCTCAGTGATATAGTCATTAGTGATGGCATTATAGCTCATAAATTTATATTAAATGTTGTTTGTTTTGCTTAGATATTATTTGCTGACAGATAATTCACTTCTGCTATTTATACTTTGACTTTGCATTTCAATATATTTTTAAACTGCACCTAACCTGCAAATTAGAATAGAAACTGTATAAAAAGCAGACAAATGTACTGACAATTAAAGAGTTGTTATGGGTCAAAGACAGAGTCAGATAAGTATCAAAATTAGAAATTAAGCTTTTTAGCCAGGGAAAGTCAGGAAATGTATTATTTGGCATGGAGCCTAGGCTTCTCGTTCTCCATTCCCCTTGCTTGAGCGGACCAGACTGTGCATAGTGAAGCGCCTCAATTACAGCTCTCATTTGATTGGCTAAAAGTTATGAGTAACCATCATATATGTGTGCGTGTGTGTGTGTGTGTGTGTGTGTGTAAATAAAATATAGCTGGTCAGTTTAAGATAAAACACCTTATTCACCTTATTCTCCGCCGACGAGCGGGCGCTGCCATTTTAATCTTTTTGTCTCGCGACTTCCGGTCACATTCACTTCCATTCATTTTTTGACGTTAAAAACTGCTCGTTTCACTGCTTGATGTTGCAATTTGATATTTTCATATTATATTATTCGTCTTGGTCTGTATAGTCATGCAGACATTTGTTTGTAGAGCAAGTAGTTTGACCGTTTTCTGCCGTTTATTATTCCTAGTCATTTCTCCCATAGGCGACTGAATCGAAAGTTCTAAGACAATCGTGAAAACAGGCGCACTTCCGCATTTTAGAATAAGGTCAATAGGCTAGAGGTCGTTTTGCTTATGATCACCCTTATGTTTCTCTTTTAAATGTAAGGCTGTTGCATAAAACAATAATTGAAGTAGTTTTAATTTATAAGTGACATTTCTTTGCTGCGTCCTCCCTGATGTTTCAATAACGCATAATAATCTTTACATCATAATAAAAACACAGCAGTCAGTAACTTTCAGTTGTCGAGAGTTTTTGTCAAGTTTAAACGGTATGTTTGTGCATGAAACATGCGCATTTAGATTAGATTAACCCAGCCGCAACCTATCTCTGGAAACATCCATACACACTCCTTCACTGCGGACAATTTAGCCTACCCAATTCACCTGTACAGCATGTCTTTAGACTGTGGGGGAAACCAGAGCACCCAGAGGAAACCCACGCGAACGCAGGAAGAAGATAGAAACGCCAACTGACCCAGCCGAGGCTTGAACCAGCAACCTTCTTGATGTGAGGCAATAGCACTACCTACTGTGCCACTGCGTCACCTAAGACTAGCATATTGAAACTAACACTTTAATAACACACTGCAACACTTTCAAAGCGAAATGGTCTGATCTACCTCCGTTTCACACCCATACACTCTTACTTTTTCAGTCTGCTGTGTCATTTGTTTATTTTTGTGTATCTGAGTAACAGAGACAGTGAAGTCATTGTTTCCTGTGGGTGGATCTCAGTTTAGTTTAACCAGCCGTTTGGAGATAATGACAGGTTTCATTGTGTGATCTCGGCTGTCTCTGTACTGCCATTTGCCAGTAATTGGTGTATTATATTGTTGGGTGCTTCTGGTAAGAAAACACCCCCTAAAAATATGAATTTCTCTCCAAATTGAAAAGACTAAGTCTCACAAAGGAATGACTAGGTTATATTGGAAATTATGACTCAACTCTACTTTAATAGGAGTAGTAGATACAAAAAAATAATAATAATAATTGAAAGTGTGGGGCGGCACAGCAGCTCAGTGGTTAGCACTGTTGCCTCACAGCAAGAAGGTCGTTGGTTCGAGTCCTGGCCGGGTCGGTTGTCATTTCTGTGTGGAGTTTGCATGTTCTCCTCGTGTTGGCGTGGGTTTCCTCCAGGTGCTCCGGTTTCCCCCACAGTCCAAACACATGCGCTACAGGTGAACTGAATAATCTAAATTAGCCGTAGTGTATATGTGTGTGTGTGTGAATGAGTGTGTTTGGCTGTTTCTCAGTACTGGGTTGTGGCTGGGAGGGCATCCACTGCTTAAAACATATGCTAGGCGGTTCATTCCGCTGTGGCGACCTCTGAAATAGAGACTAGGCTGAAGGAATATAATTGATTGAAAGAATTTAAAGTGTAAAAATAATTTACAATAATAGATTTACAGTGTCAAATATGATTATATGAATGCATTTAGAGTTTTAAAACTAATACAGGCTTTTCTTAAAGGTTTTATTAAGAATATTATCGCTTAATACGACTTGAATATTTCCAAAAAGTAGTTTTTAAAAGTATATTTTCCTTTTGATTTTAGGATAAATTTAATACAACAGGCATTTCGCAAAAATATAAATAATCATAATAATATTCATTTATTAATTCTCCGTCGGTTTAGTCTTTACTTCAGGCTGCCACTGCGGACACTGTTTTTGTTTTGTTTAATAATAACAGTAATGTACTTATTATTGAGTATAATAATGTACTTTGTTTATTTAGCATTTATTCATTTGGAGCTAATGCAAATCTTCTCAGGGGAACTGAAATGTCCTCAAGTGCTCTCATATTTTAAATACCACATTATTTCATCAATATGTACATTTTGATCTTGCAGATGATGAAATATTTGCTTAACGTCTGTACTTTACAGCCTGCAGTTTTCTTTTGACAGCTGTTAAGTTGTTTCATGAGGTAATTCCATGACTTACAGGTTGTTACAGGCAGTAAAAGAAAGTTGGTGTGTGTGTGTGTGTCCCTTGTATTAAAAATTCAGTAGGTCTATGGGAATCCATATAAAAATAGCTGTACAAGTGTGTGTGTGTGTATGTTTGTAGGTGCTTACAGTATATGTGTATGTGTTTGTTTGTTTGTTTGTTTGTTTGTTTGTTTGTTTGTTTGTTTGTTTGTTTGTTTGAGTGTGTGTTTTTGTGTATATGCAAGTGTGTCCATGTATGTGTGTGCATATATATATATATATATATATATATATACAAATGTGTGCATGTATATATGTGTGAGTGTTTGCATGTGTATGTGTGCATGTATGTGTGTGTGTTTCTGACCTTCAGGGTATTTGTAGACGTCTGTGATGTCGACTCGTTCATCGGAGCCCACAGCTTTAGTGCTGATGCAGTGACCCACAGCCTTCTTCTCACTGTGGATCTGACTGAAGGTGCCGTCCAGGTTTCTCTGCCAGTAGATCTTGTCACTGTTCACCTGCGGCAGAAACACAGCAGACACCGTTTACAGCTGACAATACTTCACAGAGAGACGTGACTGGCAAGATAAGTATACAGAAAATATTTAACATGGATGCCAACAAGTCAGGGCTGATCCGTCTAGGATACACACATTCAACAGAGTGACACATTTATATTAAGATTTAAAACAGCTCATTCAGAGAGAGAAATGAGAGAAAACTAATTAATTCAAGTTCATTTGAAGACATGCCTTTAAACTTGCTTTTGCTTGTTGATTTTGGGGTTTTTTTGTATTGTTTGCATAGAGGTGGTGACACGGTGGCCCAGTGGTTAGCACTGTCGCCTCTCAACAAGAAGGTCGCTGGTTTGAGTCCCAGCTGGACCAGTTGACATTTCTGTTAGGAGTTTGCATGTTCTCCCCGTGTTGGTGTGCTAAATTGGACATAGTGTATAAGTGTGTGTGAGAATCTGAGAGTGAGGCTGAAAGGGCATCTGCTGTGTAAAACATATGCCGGAATAGTTGACGGTTCATTCCGCTGTGGCGACTAAGGGACTAAGTAGAAGGAAAAAAATGAATGAATGTTTGCAGAGTGTTTAGTGCTTTAAGAAGCTGCTTTTAAAGGTGTTTTATAGACCATTTCAATGTGGTGATGTCATTGGCCATTGAACATTTACTTCTTGTTCTCAAACTATTTCATAACTGTAACAAGAGGAAGTTCAGTCATATCTTGACGTTAAATCAGCTTTAAAGAGTTCACACTTAGCTGATGATCGATTATAAGGCTTGTTTGGCATGCTGTCCCAGGAGAGAGCCCTGAACTCGAGGATGGCTGTTATATAAAACTTAGGGTATTTATAGTGGCTTAAGAATCGTCTGATTGGTGAATAACATATTAAATACTGCGGGGCCGGCTGCAAGCAATCATAAGCACGTGATCCTCTCGAAATTAGTTTATAAACAAACTTCACTTCATAACATTCTGAGGATTCTCTGAATGTATTGAAATTAAAAATGTAAAACAGGAAATATGTAAGGACCATTGTTAATGTTTACATCCCTCAAATTGGTCTATAAAACAAAGTTTACTATTATTATTATTAATTTCTGATCATTCGGCGAGGCAGTGGCGCAGTAGGTAGTGCTGTCGTCTCACAGCAAGAAGGTCGCTGGTTTGAACCTCGGCTCAGTTGGCTTTTCTGTGTGGAGTTTGCATGTTCTCCCTGCCTTCGTGTGGGTTTCCTCCGGGTGCTCCAGTTTCCCCCACAATCCAAAGACATGCGGTACAGGTGGGTAGGCTAAATTGTCCGTAGTGTACGAGTGTGTGTGTGTGGATGTTTCCCAGAGATGGGTTGCAGATGGAAGGGCATCCGCTGCGTAAAAACTTGCTGGATAAGTTGGCGGTTCATTTTGCTGTGGCGACCCCGGATTAATAATGGGACTAAGCCGACAAGAAAATGAATGAATGAATTTCTGATCATTCAGAACTTAAGATGAAGTAAACAGATTTGTGATGCACAGTATTGATATGAAATAAATTTTAATTATAAACAATACAGTGTTTTTAGCATAGTGTATACATTATAGTAGTAAAAAAATGAATAAATTTATGTGATTACAAATATTACATGGGATATTTGAATTGGCAACTAGCCAAGCAGTAAAAGTAGTAAAATTACTAAAACTAAAATATATATATACATAAAAAAATAAAATGACAACATTTAAAATAAACTATAAAAATAAAGCATAAAATAAATCAAACTACTTAAATTTAAATAAATGCTATAACAGACATGAAAAGAAAAGTTTTTAAGAGCCAATCAGAAGTTATTTTTATTAGAAGATCACAACAAAGGCTTGAAGCTATTTATACTATTTATACTTGAAGTTGGCGAAGCTGACGTGCACCTCTCGAAATATTTAACTACAAATCGCAATGACGCATAGCGCATTGATTGGTCGGCTTAGTATCGCTGATGAGTGTGGGCAGTGCTGAGAGCCGCGAGCCAGATGGAGCGAGTGTTTACAAGTGTCGAATCCCGTGAAGGAGCTCCAGCTGGAAACTGTTGTTTTGTGTTTACCTTATGATTAAAGTTGTTGCACGTCCGTCGGTTCCCACCTCAAAATGAGCAAGTTTGAGTCACTTCTACATTAAGGGTGTACTCACACTATGTACAGTTGCCTCGAACCGGGCCAAAGCACGCTTGTCCCCCCTCCCGTCTCCCCTGACGGCCCCCACTCACATTACAATCGGGCCTGCTCTCGCTCAGCACAGTGGAGATTTCTCTAGTTATATCGCTTTAGTCCTTAGGGATGCGGTGACACGCAGTCAGATATTCCACCGAACAGATCAGCCACTTTTGACGCTCATAAACAATCATAAAGCCCTCGTGCTGCAGGAATTAGGAGGTTTGCTACTACGGCAGTTTGCGTTCACTGAACAGTAAGAATGATTAATAAACACAAATAAAACAGCCCCTTAAAAGTCACGTCTCGCTTTCAGTTTCGGGCTTTGGCACGTTTTGCACTCACACACAAGCCCAAGCCCAAGTGAACCGCGCTCAGGCACACCTCTTCCCACCGGGCCATGGCCAAGTGAACCATGCCTGAGTTCTATTCAGCGCACTCACACTTCTCAAACGATCCCGGAAACGGGCCTGGGCATGGTACGGATAGCATAGTGTGAGTAGGCCCTAAGGTAGCATTCAGAAAAAACAAAATGCCAGCGAAGATACTCATCACAGAGAAACATAAACACCTACTGCCAGCTAGTGTTTCAGAAGTGTTATTGCAGAGCAACACAAACAGCGCGCAGAAGTATGAATGAACGGCAAGGCGCAACGCATGCGGCATGGGTCACGCCGATCACTTGATACAGAAGTATAAACCAGACTTAAGGTTTAACACGTAACACACACAAAAAATTACACAATATACACAACGTATAAAAATGAAATTTATTAGTCAGAAATTATTTAAATTACACACCAAAATTAGGGGTGTGTAATGTTGAAAAAAATTATAATTTACCAACTGCCTTGGTTGGTTTAGATCTGTCACCAATAAATAAATAAATAAATATGAAACAAAAACCACTAACATGACAAGTGCTATAATAATTAATTCAGGGAATTTGATAAGGGCTTTCAAACATTCAATCATTTATTTTCCTTCAGCTTAGTCCCTTATTTATCAGGGGTCACCACAGCGGAATGAACCGCCAACTATCTTAGCATATGTTTTACACAGCAGATGCCTTTCCAGCCGCAACCCAGTACTGGAAAACACCCATACACTCTCACATTCACACACTCATTCACTACGGCCAGTTTTGTTTACCCAATTCACTTATAGCACATGTGTTTAGACTGTGGGGGAAACCAGAGCACCCGGAGGAAACTAGAGAACATGCAAACTACACACAGAAATGCCAACTGGCTCAGCCAGGACTCGAGCCAGTGACCTTCTTGCTGTAAGCGACAGTGCTAACCACTGAACCACCATGCCGTCCTGCTTTCCAACATGCTCTATATCTTAATCAAATGTATTTGATTGTAATTTAAATTAAATGTCTAAATGTATTAAATAATCATGTTTTCAGATGGAAAGGATGTCGTTTTATGTCTTTTTATGTGATGCTCAATTTAACCCTCACCTCAGCGAAGACGAACGGCACGTCGTATTTGAGATAGACCTGTCCAGAGCGAACCGCAGCCAGAGACGCCGGACCGCAGCGAAACGTCCCATGACTGGTCTCCTGAGGTGTGGAGTCCACCGCCTGCCACCCGCCAAAACCAGGAGGCAGATCCGGACGTGCCAACCAGCAGTCATTCCACACATGGAAGTTCCTACAGGGAAAACACAAGAAAACGGAAGGCTTAAAAACAATACCTAATGATTTACTGCAGTGTTTCCCCTACCATAATATAAGGGGACGCCCCACCCTCCCAGAGGCTGTACCCGCCCCCTTTGTTACATTAATTGTAATATCTATATAGCGCCAAATCACAACTTTTCTTAATTAACAAGCTAAATCAAGCATGTCATTTCTGTTCTGCGCTCGCTTCACTGCAGATAAAATATATACAGATGCAGACATCCCAAGTCTCTCAAAAGTTCTGGGATTCTCCCGCAAATGCATAGAGACTCCTAGATGCCTGCAAACCAATGATAATCTCCCGGAAATCGCGCGTCTCCCGCCCGGTGCTCAAATACGTCTCACATCCCTTCCCGCTCTTCATATACGACACGCACATTCCATGCTGTGATGCAAGGGGAGCTATCTCCTTTATCTAGTTATGTCCTCTACCGGAAGCTCTGCGTGTCTTTTGCAAATTTATACTGGCTCAGTGATCCCCCAAAATAAATTAAAATACCCGGAAATCATGGCGACGAGAGAGTGAACAAGAGAACAGATCGCGAGAGGCACAGTGAGGGTCTAAGCATTACATTTAACAGGTTTAATGAATAGAGCAGTAAAGATATCGTGAGTGCAAATCCGCCCTCTCTCTCCCTCTCTCTCTCTCTCTCATTGAGAGATCTGCTGTCAATAGTTGGAGACAAGCAATATATTTCAATGGTCCTGCATTTATTTAAGCCTTTTTTTATATATATAACAACTGAAAGTTTTGTGTTTTTGACAATATTACAAATTCACTAAAAGCTGGCTGAAATTATTAGATAATCTTTTAAACATAAATATTTAATAACATAACTTCTTTTAATGCACTCACTGCTATAAGAAGTAGTTTATAGGTCGATTTCCTTTTAGTAAACAAGTATTATATTTATAGATGTGCATTTTAACTAAAGTCTGGTGAAAATACTAGTGACCTTAAGTCTTTTGCACAGTACTTTATACTTAATATTCCATGTAAAAACCTCATATGCTCACCATACGGAGTCAGAGTTGAGATGATGGATCGGCTCCATATCCTCATCAAAATACACATCTGTGGTCAAGGACACATCCGTATCGTGGGCAGACTGGAAGTTTGTTACGGACCGGGCAGGAATACCAAGACATCTCAACACTGGGATGGACACAGAGAAAACATGATTCATTTTGTGTAGATGTCAAAATAAAAAGACTTCTGTTTGGACTGATGTAATATTTGTATTCCACAAGGAAACAATAAATTCTAAAGTGACAGTAAAGACATCCTAAAATTCATGCTCAGGTCATAAATGTTTGAATGATTTCTGAAAAATCACGTTACACTAAAGGCTGTAGTATTGATGCTTTTAGATTATAGGATTCAATACCATTTCACATGGGATCTATTATGCAGACATCACTTTTATAAGGGGTTTAAACACAGTTGTGTGGCAACAGTGCGTGAATATAGCCAACCAATATAGCCATTAAATTAATTAATTTAACTTTTTATATTCACACTTGATGAAAACAGTTTGCAGAAACACTTTGATGGACATTTTTCCTTTGTATGTCTCATCAGAGGGGGAAAACCCAGTCAATTAGTGATGATCTTTCCATCATTAACATAAACAGAGCAGGAAGCAGCTGTCCTCCATTAGAGTTACCACTTGTTGAAGGTAATGTCAGCCAGGGCTGGCCCTAACCAATTTGGCACCCTAGGCAAGATTTCAGGTGGCGCCCTGTTGCATCACAATAAATTCCACTGCAAGTGTACATATAATAAACGGCGATATTATTATAATTAGTAGTAGGCTTTGCACTATGCAGCTAAATTATAGTGGGCTTATTCCTTTCTGAAGTAATACCATAGTTTTAAGAATAGTGGAAGTTACTTATTTTTTCTTCCCTCATTTCTGGCGCCCCCCTGGATGTACGCCGCCCTCAGCATTTGCCTATACTGCCTATGCCACAGGCTGACCCTGATGTCAGCGACTATGAGGATTATAAATGTGAGGTTTTAGGATGCAGAAATGAATACTGTAGTGTCCATAGATTGCCATCTTATGAGGCACTTCTTTTAACATTTTCAGTTGGTAACACTTTATTTTGATGGTCCATTTCAGGATTAGTAGACTTAGTAGACTTAATATCTGTTGATACTACTGCTAAACAGACATTTAACTGACAATAAGAAACTTTGCAAGTACATGTCAACTTACACTTAACCTAACCCCAACCTAACAGTCTACTTTTCATTTAATTTAATTCTAATTTAAATCTAATTAGTTGGCATGTAGATGCAACGTAACTTAAATTCAACAAACGGACCATCAAAATAAAGTGTGACCTTTCAGTTTTTCACACAGATAACATTAGTCCTGTTTTTGAATCTGCCACTATGATGATGCGCATGCATTTGTAGCTCCGCCTTCTTTTGAAAAGAGCACAAGCTCATTTGAATTTAAAGCCACAGCCACTTAAAAGGCACAATTCGGATCGAAGCCTAAAAGGAGCAATTTCAAAGCATTATAAAGAGTTAAGAATATATATATTTGTGTGGTATTTTGAGCTGAAACATCACGTACACACTTTAGGAGACTTATTTTATATATTGTAAAAAGAGGTACAATAGGTTCCCTTTAAAGAGGCCTATAATTAAATAGAAAGCAGCTCTTTTGAATTGTAATAATACATTTCATAATACTACTGCTTTTATTGGTTTTTGGTTGGATAGGATAGTATAGGATGTGTATAAAAATATCCGCTCTGATCTTATGAGGAAACGTAACTAGTTTACTTTTTGTCAGTTTAGTGGCACTCCTAAACCCAGCCGTCATTGGGGATTTAAAGCAAATCGTTCAAAATTGTATGAATGAGATTGTACAAATTCATATGAATCAGCCGCTAAATCAAATAGTTACGAATTGCCTTGAAATCATGTTGGAAAATTCAGCTTTGCATTTCAGGATTATATTACATTAGCAATGGTGAGTGAGAGAGTCTCACACACAGCCGAACACTATTAATGTCTGTGTGTGGAATGAAGAGTATGCAGACGAGAGCATTTTAAAGCAGTTCCCCACGGGGGTCATACTGCTGCTAACCAGGGTCAGTTATGAAGGTCACAGCACATCTGTGACTGCAGCAAAAATTCCATCAGCTACTGATACTAGTAAACAATATCATATTTTGTTAGTCTATGACATCATACATTCCACTGATATCACATTATGACTGTGATAAAATAAAAAAAAATAAAAAGCTGATGAGTTTGGTAGTAACTTTTTTAGGGACTGCAAAAAAAAAGGGGTCAAACTGCAATATTTAACTTTTTTTATCACTAATAAAATGACATCGGATGTCCTGACAAATATTTCTGATATACATGTTTTGAAGCCTAGGCTGCAGCTCTGCACAAGATGTTTGGCCATATGAGAGATAGTCGTGCTCAACTGAGCTTGGTTTCTCTCAAGGTTTTTTATCCTTCACTTTGGCCAATTGGTGAAGTTTTTTCCTCGCAGCTGTCGCCACTGGCTTGCATGGTCCAGGACTTGTCGAGCTGCGCATCAATGGACTGGCTCTTCAGTGTTTGAACTCTCAGCAGTGAAAATTAAACCACACTGAACTGAGCTAAACTGAACTTAAACTCTGAAAATTTTACTGACACTGTTTCAATTCACTATAATCTTCTATATGTAGTTGCTTTGACACAATCTACATTGTAAAAGTGCTATAGAAATAAAGATTAATTGAATTGAATATCTTTGTACCAAAATTGTTTTGAATGGTTTCATCCTAGGTGGTTTATTCCATTGTAGTGACCCCTGATAAACAAAGGACTAAGCCGAAGGAAAAGGAATGAGATTTGTTTATATGTGTGTGTGTGTGTGTGTGTGTGTGTGTGTGTGTGTGTGTGTGTGTGTGTGTGTATCACATATACATAATCAATATACAGTTATAGTCAGAATTATTAGCCTCCTTCATTTTTTTTATTTTTTTTATTTCCCAAATGATGTTTAACAGAGCAAGGAAACTTTTCACAGTATGTCTGATAATATTTTTTCTTCTGGAGAAAGTCTTATTTGTTTTATTTCGGCTAGAATAAAAGCAGTTTTTAATTTCTTAAACAACATTTTAGGGACAAAATTATTAGCCTTTTTAAGCTGTATTTTTTTTCGATAATTTACAGAACAAACCACTGTTATACAATAAGTTGCCTAATTACCCTAACAAGCCTAGTTAATTAACCCAGTTAAACCTTTAAATGTCACTTTAAGCTGTATAGAAGTGTCTTGAAATATATCTAGTCAAATATTATTTACTGTCATCAAGGCAAAGATAAAATAAATCAGTTATTAGAGATGAGTTATTTAAACTATTATGTTAAGGTTATATATATATATATATATATATATATATATATATATATATATATAAAATTATGTCACAACAAACATTTATTTTGGATGCAATAAAATAAATCATTACGGCAATTACTTGTAATTAATTGTAATTATGTTATGTAAAAATTACATGTGCATTTATCATTTTTATAAATTTTTTATAAAATTTGTTTAAAAAATTTACAAATATAGCTATGTTTCAAATGTATATAAAAAAAGTTTCAAAAATCATGGAAAAATCTTTATTTAAAAAAACTTTTGCATAATCTATAGATTTTTTTCTACTTTAAAGTGTAAACCATTTGTGGAGGTCTGTGGATGTGAAAAAAGTCTTTCTGGAACTAAAAATGCCAATAAAGAACCTTTTTTTATAAGTGCTTATGCTTGAAGCTGCAATCCTAAATCACTAACCACAAGTTTTACTGCAGTAGACAACAGCAAATGGAGGCAATTACACACACAGACACACACACACACACACACACACACACACACACACACACATACAGACACACACACCTGTGGTTGTGACTCCAGAGAACACCCAGCACTGTCCGTATTTGACCGGCGTTCCTCCTTCTCTGTGGTATTGCTTGAGAATTTCAACACTTCCACTCCATGCGGTGGGAGACGTTCCTCCAGTGTAATTCCCAGACCAGTTTCCCTCCAGAACACCACGGTCATCCGGAGAGTTGATCTACAACACACGATCACATCTGTTATTTGCTTTCTCGGATCAATAAAGAGATGTTTTACAGTTTTACAGAGTTCAGAATAATGTATTGCTATCACAATACTGATATTGGCACTCCAGACTATTTTTATGGTATCAATTCCAAATTACAATATTTATGCATGAGTTAAGTTCTTAATTTGACAGAGTTAAAACATCAAGATTGGTTTAATGTTAAAGTTCTTTCTACTGATCTGACCCAGGCATAGAAAATAAAGATTAAAAAAATATATGAATTAAAAAAATAATTAAATGAAAAAATTAATTAAATAAAAAAATTTAAACTATTTATTTAAAAATGAAAAAATAAATAAATAAATGGATGTATGGATGGATGAATAAATAAATAAATTAATTAATAAAGTTTTTTGGTTATTTTTGACTATTTTGGACCATGTAATATTTTTATCAATTATGCAATGTTGCATTTAAATAAATGCAGTGATTCTTAATTTGAATTTCAGCTATAGAAAAGAAACTACTTGCCTAAATTGAATTATTAAAAAAAAAGAAACGGTTGAAAATAAACACTAATAAATACAACAGAACAAATATACAGATGAAAACACATGTGATTTACATTCTTTACAAGTAGATTTAACAGTGACTGTGTCATCATCCCATACAGAAATCTGATATATGCCATGAACATAACTTTTGATTAGATTTGATTTGATTTATTTATTTTCGAACAAAAATATCACATATAAAATAGCATTAACAAAAAATACATTTCAACACTGTCGAAAATGGACCGGGATGAAGCACAAGCTCATTGTTTTCCAACCACATACATCATTCGTCTATTTCTTAAACTTATTTCTTTTTTTACTTATCTCATTTTTTGTTACATGAGAAATATTTTATCCATTTGGCATCTTTGACATATTATATGTTTGGTTCTATTTGTACATTTACATTTTATAACATAGACCCCCCAAAAATAAATACATAGTACTGTAAATAGCCATTAATTAAAGTTTCATCATACCTTTTTCATTTAATTGAATAAAAATCAATAAATTGAATTTGAATGAATACTTTTTCAATCACCTTAATCATAAATTTATGATTAATAATATTCATAAATTCCTTTAATAATATATATATACATATATATATATATATATATATATATATATATAATGCTATTATATATGAAATTATATCCATGTGGGAAATGTTTTGTGGATATGGACATTCAAAAAAAAAAAATCTTGCAACATTTCTGAAAGGATCATACTTATATATTTATATTTAACTTTTTAAATTGATTATTATCCTGACATTGTTTGAGAGTCTGATCAAGACTGTTCCATGATTTCACACCACAGACAGACATACACAAACTTTTAAAGTTGTCCTTGTTTTCAACCTCCTAAAATATTGTTCTTCTCTCAGATTGTAATGAACACAAATGAGTAATGAACATAAATATAAAATGAACATAAATTTAAAATGACAGATACTATATTGAACATATATCTGCCAATTGTTAAAAAATATATATTTGATTAATGTTAACAAATGTCCTCTAAAATGTATTACTGTCACTTTAGATTCAATTTTCGGTGTTTTAAAATAGTTATTTTTTACATTATTTGCTATTTAGCCTATATCTTGACGCGCAAAAACTTGCATATATTGTATTCATCACTGTTATCCAGTTATAGGCATATCAGAAAATACTGCGTTATTTTTAACATTTTATTATTGATGCATTTAGAAATATCAATACTTCTGATGACACAATACGTTTGTGTTGAAGAGACTGGACTCACCATGGCAGAAATGACCCGGACAACATTAACCGGATCTCCTCTTCCTGATGGAGGAACTTCACTGTTATCCAGCACAAACAGACAGGCCTCCAGAATCCCTTCATCAAACTGCAAGAGAAAAGACAATCAGATACCATTAATAAAACTGCAATCTCATCTAAAGTGTTATCAAGGTCCAATGTTAATATAAAAGTTCAACCATAATTGTGTATGGTGAGAAAACAAATGCAGGTTGTGAGCATGTTGTGAGCATTTGTGTTCACGTCATTCTTTTTTATTTCCCAAGTCAGACTTTAATTGTGGAATAATTGATGTCAGACTTCCTAAAAACACCACATAAAACTAAATTAACTGAGGTTTGGTGGTTTATGCACAGTTTTTCCCCCACGTCTGAGTGAGATTGTGTGCAAGAATAAGTTAAACATGGTTTTGTGATATAAAACAAAAACAGAATCCTTGTGTGTATCATTAGTTTGGATTAAACGGTTTAACAATTAAGGAATAGGAATAAAAAGGTAACTAATTTTTCTTAAGGAAATGTTGCCTTGGAACTCAGAACTGCAACGCATAATTAGTAAAATTAGTAAAACTCAAATAAATCTAAACACAATAAATAATAACTAAAAAAGGAAAGTAAATAAGAAAAACACAAAACACACACACAAATACGTAGAGTTGAAGTCATAATTATTAGCCCCCCTTTGAATGTTTTCCCCAATATTTCCCAAATTATGTTTAACAGAGCAAGGAAATTTTCACAGTATGTCTGATAATATTTTTTCTTCTGGGAAAAGTCTTATTTGTATTATTTCGGCTAAAATAAAAAGCAGTTTTACATTTTTTAAAAGCCATTTTAAGGACAAAATTATTAGCCCCTTTAAGCTACTTTTTTTCCGATAGTGTACAGAACAAACCATCGCTATACAATAACTTACCTAATTACCCTAGTTAAGCCTTTAAATGTCACTTTAAGCTGTATAGAAGTGTCTTGAAAAATATCTAGTCAAATACTATTTATTGTCATCATGGCAAAGATAAATTAAATCAGTTATTACAAATAAGTTATTAAAACTATTATGTTTAGAAATGTATTGAACAAATCTTCTCACCTTTGAATAGAAATTAGGGAAAAAATAAACGGGGGCTAATAATTCTGACCTCAACTGTATAAATATATACATATTAGCATTTCTGTATCTGTGTGTGCATGTTTTTTTGTGTTCTGTGTACTGTAACTCAAATAAAATATAATTACAAACAAAGTATAAGAATAACTAAAGTATAAAATTACTAAAATAAACTTTTTAAAAAAATACTAAACTGAAAAAACAATACTGAAATATTGTAACTAGTGCTGGGCAAAGATTAATTGTGATTAATCACACATCAAAACTAAAAGCTTGTGTATATTTAGTATGCATATAAAAATACATGCATGCATGCAAATATTTGAGAGAATGTTCATTTATGTTTAGATATAAAAATGTTCGTTCATTTTCCTTCAGCTTATACTAAGTTCAGACTGGATGATTTTAGCCCCGGTTTTGACTCGGCCACAGGTTTTGATAAATCACTGACAAATGGCTGAAATCACAGGCAAATCAGTGTTCGTGCACGTGAGTGACAATTACACAGTGTGAACTATCAAAGACGTGATCTGAGAGAATCGCTAATGAGTTGTCGATGCCCGTAAGATATTTGGCATGCTAAATATCTGGAGCAGTCGGCGATTCAAATCATGACCTGTGAAATGAGGTCTGGTTGAAAATAGCATTAGCTTCAGGCAATGCTGATGTAACGTTAGATTTTTTTAAATTTTTTTTATTGCCATTTCAGCTTCTATGGCTATGTCATGGCAAAAAGAAAATAGATCAAGTTTATCACATTTTATAAATACCAATTTTCTATAATTATAAAAATATTCTAACAATTAAAAGTCATCAACAGCACTAAATAATGTCCAGGGTAAAATACATAAATAGCAATAATGATAATATAGAAGATAAAAATCTAAAACAGTTTTTTAAGGATTCCTTTTGATAAAAATTGTACAATTTTAGATGGATTCACATTTAAAAATATTTCCTTTAAAGTCTCTCCAGATAAATATTGTTGTCTGATGACATTAAAAATGGGGCATTCCACAAGAATATGTTTGGTTTTTGTTGCAATAAATGTAACGTTAGATGTTGTTGTTAAAAATGGGTTATATTTTCACAGAAGTGTTGTTCAGCCACTGAAATCTTCCGATGAAAGATTAATAAGACTATTTTCAGTTTCATAAAGGACCTTTTACAGCATCGATAATGTAAATTTGAACTAGTTTACAAACAAAACACAAGTAAATAGCGCTATTCCGCCTGGTCTCTCCCTATATTGTTTACCATGCAACTCAAAATATTTGCTCTGAAATAGCATATCAGTTTGGCTTGCATGCTGTCAGACAAGCACTAGTCGCTTTTAACACATGAGAGAGGGTTCTTTTACTCGTGTTTAGGAAGGCGTGCCTCTAGACGCCAGGGGAGGGACTGTGATTCAGAGATTTATGCTAAGCTGTTAGCATTGTGGAAGATTACCTACTGCTGAAATTACTAAAATGGAGTAAAAGTTGAATAGAAAATAATGAAAAAGCACATTAAATTACTAAGCATTTACAGATTAAAAACATTAAGCTAATATTGTAATATAAACAAAACAGTGACATTGGAGGCAAAAGATTTACAGCTGATACTGTAAATATCTATGGGTCAGATTTGCTTCATAATGGGCTTTTTTTCTTGTATAAAACAACAAGTTCTCACAACCAATTTTTTTGTTCCTCAGTGAAAATGTTGTAATTTTTTTCATGGACTTTGTATTTGTGATCTCCGCACCTGACCGAAGTTCCATGTCCGAGCTCCGATCTGCTTCTCTGTGCCGTAGTAGATCCTGCCGGTGTCATTGAGGACGTACTCATTCAGCTCTCTCTCTCCCTCCATGAACACAGCATCATCTGCAGGACATACACACACAGAGATGAGAGAGGACACACACCCTACAGCTGCTGATAACACACTCATTTACATGCAAACTGAAGAGTGAAATCATCCACACGAGAAAGTTTTAGGGCGTCAGGAATGCGTTCGGAGGTCAAGACGCTCTGAAAACAAGGATAAACTGTGCACTGTAAAATATCTGTTAATTAACAGGTCTTGTATTTTGTGATTTACAAGTGTTATCAGATTATTTACGGTTGTGAATTGCATTATGGGATGTTGATCTCTGCTTTGTCCACTTTTAATGTTGAAAATTTAACACTACAGTTGAACAAAGTGACTTTTATTAACATGTTAGTAGTTTTTAAAAAATGTATGTATAATAAATAATAAATAAAGAAATAAATCTGTAAAACAACAGAAAATGTACTGGCAGTTTATTACTCTGTAATATACAACCCAGACAATATATCACTTTAAACTATTAAAAATGTTTATAAAAAGTCACTTTGTCAAACTTTGCAAAGTTAAAAGATGTTTGAAGAAAGATCAAGGTCACATAATGCAATTCAAAAGCCTAAATAAACAAGGAAAAATAAATAATAAAAATATGAATTACAAAATATGGATCTTTTTTACTGTGTAGAAAGTAATGTGACTGGGAAAATAAGAAGTGAATGGAAAAGGCCAGATGGACAGAACAAGACAAACAAAGTAGGATCACACTATATTTTATAATGTGGTGTTTATATAATGAATAAGAAATGTAGAAATAAAGGGATAAAAATAAATAGAAATTAAAGAAAATTTAATGGCATTAATGATTATTGAAAGAATAATAATGTTTTTGTTAAATAAAATGAAACAGAAATAAAAATATTAACAAAAAACTAAATGTTTTAATTAATAGTTAATGAAACAAATATTGACTTAACTAAAAGTACAAAAGACATTTAAAAATGTCATAAAATATTAATCTAAAAATAATGATGAAATAATGATGTCAAAAAAAAATTAGAAATTAAATATTAATTTAAAAGCTTAATAAAGTCTTTCAGTAAAGTTTTTTAAAACACATATTTCTTAATCTTAAAATGAATAATTAACAAAAAATTTTTTAGAAAAAAGTGTTAAAATAAACTTAAAAATAATGATGAAATAATTATGTAAAATAAACTAATTTAAAATTAAACATGCTATTTGTAGAAAAACTGTCTTCATTTTATCTAAACAAATGGCATCACTCTTAAAAATATATATATATTTTTAGATTTTTTAAATCTTTAAAAAAAATTTCATCAAACTGGCTTGGCTCAGTCTGAAGCACCAATAAAAGCCTCCATCATCTAGAGACATTTTCTGGAGGAGTTGATGAACTTGGGTGCACCTCTAAAAGAATCTAGTGGATTCGGACACAGCGCCGAAAGAAAATAAATTTTTAGCCTTTATAAAGCAAAGCTAATCTCTCGATAAAAATCCTTGCTAGCCACTTAGCAACAAAGCTAGAGTCACCAGGCAGACAGAAGCCCTGTCCATCACGCAAATCCACATCTGTTGTGAAGTGAATTTGACACATGAATGAAGCGAGTAAACTCAAAATGTTCACAAATATATTTACCCACGAATAACATGAATTTATTCACGCATCACACGTCTGGTGTGAACACAGCGTCAGTTTTATCTAACCCAAATGTTTTACTTAATGTTTTTTAATGATCAATTTTATGTTTCCCAAAGAACCTTTCAGTTTTTCTTAATTCTACAAACATTTTAATACAAAAAAAACAGCCTTTTGTGGAACGACAATATTATATGTATTTATCCACAGGACCATCAACGCCTATAAAGAACCTTTATCTACTTTTAAGATTGTATATCTAAAAATCAGCTACACCCTGTTTTTGAAATACTTTCAGAAATAAACACATTTCTGCAGAGTTAGAGAGTTCAGTGTGTTCTTCGGCACAGGAATGACCCTGAAGCACAGGGCATAATAAATGTAGTGTTATAAAACAAACAGGCTGAAAGAAAGCAGTGAAGTGAAGAATGACAGGAAGGGGCCCGGAGTAAAGGAGGGAGGGAAAGATCTACAAGTGCTTGACATGTGAACCGCCAGATGAGGTGGAGCTGCTGGACAAACCAGTGCGGAGGAGAAAAGATTACAGTGTTTTGGAGTAAAAGGTGATCTGGCAGACCTCTCCATTCCCTTACAAACATCCCTGGCATTCAGAGCCACCCAAAAACAACACTCTGGAAACTAACAGACTCAAAAGAACCGAAAAACCAAACCTATTCCTTGAGTAAGTGTTGAAAAAAAATTTTTTTAAGTAATTTATTTCGCTTTATGAGGATACACACATTACATTTGATTTTATTTAGTGTCGTGGAGGTCAAAATTATTCACTCTCCTGTGAATTTTATCCTTTTTTAAATGTTTCCCAAATGATGCTAATCAGAGCAAAGAATTTTTCACATTATTTCCTTTAATATTTTTTTTCTTCTGGAAAAGTCTTATTTGTTTTATTTCAGCTAGAATAAAAGCAGTTTTTAAATATCTAAAACCATTTTAAGGTCAAAATTACCACTATGACGTCCATCAGACGTTTTATTTGGTCATTTTCCAACACAACCAAATATCAATGTAATTCAACGTCTTTATTAGACGAAAAAATAACGTAGTCCATATGCTGTTTTTACACCAGATGCAGAATGCGCAGATAAATTGCACTATTCACGCGAAAATAGCCGCCTGAACATTTGAGTTTACTCGCTTCATTCGCACGTCAAACCCTGCTTCATTCGAGCGTCAAATCCGCTTCATTCACGCATCAAATTCACTTCAGCACAGACGCGGATTCTGTCGGCCCGTTGACTCTAGCTTCATTGCTAAATGGCTAACATGGATTTTATTGAGAAAATAGCAATGTTTATGTGCTTTATGAAGGCTGAAAAACAGCATCGATACGTTTAGGGCTATGTCTGAGTCCACTAGATCCTTTCAGAATTACATCCAGCTCCAGGAGCTCATAAACTCCTCCAGAAACTTAACCTGGATGATGGAGGCTTTCAGCGGTGCTTCGGACTGAGCCGAGCCCAGTTTGATGCACTGTTGTTGGTGTTGGCTGGAGGATTTCCCCCGGGACACCAACAACAGGCGTACGTCACAATCACGCCCCCTGATTAGTAAACGTGGCGTTTACCAATCTTAAGTTTAGATTTTTCAACTCGAGCAATTTAGCAAAACGTTAAATGCATTATTCGCACCGCCCCGTTCGTGCAGCATCATTCGCGCGTATCGCGCCGCAGGATGTCTATTTGTGCGTTTGCATTGACTTAACATGTAAATCACTCGCGCTTGATGCGCCTTCCACATTTGGTGTGAACACAGCAATTCAACGCTGGCTAGACATTAAATTTTAGTAACCTGTCGTCATGACCTAAATCTAACCTAATATTAATGTCTTATGATGTCGTGTGCCTGCTGGGTTATGGCAGAATATTAATATTTTAGTCATTTTAAAATAATCAAAGCATTACATGAAGTCAAATTTGTAGTCGAATTTGTATACTTCAGAAATAAAGCACCTCAGGCATTTTAAAAACATCACCGCTTAACAGAGATGATGTAAAACTTGTCAAACTCATGTACGGGCAAGATTAGATTTGAGTTATAGCCAATAGCTGAAGTAAAGCCAAAGCGTTTGTTAATCCGACCTGTTGCAACACAAACGGATTGCAAGATGATGTGAGTTCATCCCAAAGGCTGATGAAAAGTCACTGGGCCACAAGAGAAAACTTGCACCCTCCCGTTACATTGGGTTAACAGTGGCCTGTGCAATATTTTAGGCTAAATATATGCCAGTGTTTCCCAGACAGATTCGTTGACGGAGTGTGTTGGCTTCCCGTCAATGGATGAGTTTAGTGTACAATCATCATTTATCTACGCAAGCTTGAGCTCATGAAATGTGACAACACACTTTATGAACAAACTGTGATGATGATGCAAAGGTTACTATGGCAAACATGAGCAGAAAGCTTTTCTTTTAATGGAAAGGTGCGGTACAATTTCAGAACAAATGACTCATATGATCTGTGTTTTAGTGAATCAAATACAGTGCATCTGTAAAGTATTCATAGCTATTTACTTTTTCCACATTTTTTATGTTACAGCCTTGTTCCAAAATGGATTAAATTCATTTATTTCCTCAACATTCTACACACAATACAAATATTTTTGAAATTGTTGCAAATTTATTAAAAATAAAAGACCTGAAAAATGTACACATGTACATCAGTATTCACAGCCTTAGCTCAATAGTTTGTTGATGCACCTTTGGCAGCAATTACAGCCTTTATGAATATGATACCACAAGCTTGGCACGCCTGTCTTTGGGGATTTTTGCCCATTCCTCTTCGCAGTATCTCTCAAACTCTATCAGGTTATATGAGAAGCGACGGTGTGCAGCCTTTTTCAGATCTCTCCAGAGATGTGGAATAGAATTTAGGTCTGGGCTCTGGCTGGGCCACTCAAGGACGTTCACCGAGTTGTTGTGAAGCCACTCCATTGATATTTTGGCAGTGTGCTTTGGGTCATTGTCCTGCTGGAAGATGAACTGTCGCCTCAGTCAAGAGCACTCTGAAGCAGGTTTACATTCAGGATGTCTCTGTACATTGCTGCATTCATCTTTCCCTCTATCCTGACTAGTCTTCCAGTTCCTGCTGCTGAAAAACATCCCCACAGCATGATGCTGCCACCACCATGCTTCACTGTATGGATGGTATTAGCCCGGCGGTGCCTGGTTTTCTCCAAAAGTAATGCCTGGAGTTCAATTTTAGTCTCATCAGACCAGAGAATTGTGTTTCTTATGGTCTGAGAGTCCTTCAGATGCCTTTTGGCAAATTCCAGACAGGCAGTGGCTTCCGTCTGCCCACTCTACCATACAGCCCTGATTGGTGGATCGCTGCACAGATGGTTGTCCTTGTGTAAGGTTCTCCTCTCTCCACAGAAGAATGCTGGAGCTCAGACAGAGTGACCATCGGGTTATTGATCACCTCCCTGACTAAAGCCCTTTCTCCCCAGATCACTCAGCTTAGATGGCCAGCCAGCTCTAGGAAAAGTCCTGGTAGTTAAACATCTTCCACTTTCGGATGATGGAGGCCGCTGTGCTCATTGGAACTTTCAGAGCAGCAGAAATTTTGCTGTAACCTTCCCCAGCCTTGTGCCTGGAGACAATCCTGTCTCGGAGGTCTACAGACAATTCCTTTGTCTTCATGCTTGGTTTGTGCTTTGACATGCACTGTCAACTCTGGGACCTTATATAGACAGGTGTATGCCTTTTCAAATCATGTCCAATCAACTGAATTTACCACAGGTGATCTCCAATGAAGCTGCTGAAACATCTCAAGAATGATCAGTGGAAACAGAATGTACTTGAGATCAATTTAGAGCTTAACAGCAAACGCTGTGAATACTGATGTACATGTTATTTTTCAGGTTTTTTATTTTTAATAAATTTGCAACAATTTTCTCTTTTTTTATATTGTCATTATGGGGTATTGTGTGCAGAATTATGAGGAAATAAAAGAATTGAATAAATTTTGGAATAAGGCTGTAACATAAACAAATGTGGAAAAAGTAAAGTGCTGCACAGTATATTCAACTCAAGTGCAATCTGACTCCCAAACTAATGAATCTAATGAGTTGTTTATTATTAGTGAATTGAAGATATGCATTGTGGTCTAATTCCAAAAGACTTTTATTATATGGTTTGTTTTAAAGAATCACGATCACAAAGTTTAAATAGTGTAATTCAATTCCTAAACAAGGAGGGGACATGGTGGTGCAGTGGGTAGCATGATCACCTCACACCAAGAAGGTCGCTGGTTCGAGCCCCAGCTTTTATCTCTTGCAAATTAATTATGTTGCAATAGGCTCTTTCATTCTTACCTTCACACCAGGGATTGAAGAGCATGTAAATGTCTTTTTCAGGATCGTGTGTGGTAGATTCGTTCGTCTTTAGACACTGGGTTACGACAGTCAGCGTGTATTTTCCTATAACAGCATTGACGGATGAGTTGATGGACAGCTTGGCCCGGTTGAGGTTCTGCTCCACAATCTTGGCCTCCCAGCGTTCATCCTGTAGCTCCTCCACCAGTGGGATGATGATGTGCGTCCCTTTGGACACCAGTGGGAGCGCTCCTGAATCACAACATGAGGATCACACAGATGGTTTGAGAACAAATGTGAAAAATAAAATTATGGATGAACAGATGGACGGATGGATGGACAGATGGAAGGATGGATGGATCAGTAGAATGATAGAACAGTAGAAAAATATGATGGATGGATGGACAGATGAGTAAAATGATAAACAGTAGAAGGATAGATAGACAGATATAGAATGACAGAACAGTAAAAAATAGAATGACAGGGAGACAGAAAGACAGACAGACAGACAGGCCTCCACCCTCACCTGTCTTCAGCTCCAGGTGTAGTTTATCGGTGTTTGGGTTGAAGGGTCGTGAGAGCTCCAGCTCAATCTGGAAAGTCTGTCCTCTGCGGATGATCAGCTGATCTCCACTGTACTGATCCGTGTGATGCTCCTTCTTATTACGGTCAGTTTTCCGGCTGAGCAGATCCACAGATCGCACCACTAGAGACAAATCTGATGGGGGGAAAAAAAGAGTGTAATAAGACTTGCTTCTAGTCTGCATCTCCTTAAATCATTCATTCATTTAGCAGATGATGTTTTTGCATTGTGATCGTCTCACCGTCCACATTGGTTTCTACACTGACAGACACTGGAGACGCCGGCTGTTCGATTTCTTCATTTCCAGCAACCACACCATCCGCTTCACTGGTTAAATCATAAGAGTTGCTCTGTCGGCGTAAGCAGCATGGACAAGCCTTTCGTAGCCAGCGCCTGCAGCCGCTCTCCGGTTTCTTCGTTTTACTCTCGCTGGGTTTCTCCGCGACGGCTTCTCCATTCCTTGCTGAAACGCCGTGGAATCGGCCGACAGCAGAGTTATCTCGAATTGACTGTCTTTCTCCTGGCATCCTGGAAAATAATCATAAAAATATATCTGATGGAAATTTGCGTGAGAACGTTACCAGGAGAAATCAGGAATACACTAATCAGAAAAAATGTGAAAAAACCTGGTACAAATTTATACAAATTAGCCACTAATCGAAAAGTTACGAATTGTCATAAGATAGTCATAACAATTCGTAACTTTTGGATTTAGTGGCAAATTTATATGAATTTGTACTAGGGCTGCAAGGGGTGCCGCGGGGGGCAACATGCCCAACCTCCCTGGCCCCCGCATCTCACTTTCTTAAACGACACCACTCCTTGCCCCGCTCTTCTTCTTCGTCCACTCTTCACTTTCTTCCGCAACAACACCCCAACCTCCCCAGCCCCACTCTACACTTTCGTCCGCAACACCACGACCACACCACCAACCTCCCCACCCCCTGTTTGTCACTTTCTTCCGCGAAACCACAACCCTGCCCCGCTCTTCTTTATCGTCCACTATTCACTTTCGTCCGCAACAACACACCGAACCTCCCCACCCCCTGCTCTACCCATTTATCCACTCTACACTTTCGTCTGTGACACCACTCCCTCGCCCCGCTCTCCCCACCCCACCTCTTCACTTTCGTTCACAGCCACACCCCCAACCTCCCCTGCCCTGGTCTTCACTTTCGTCCGCAACAGCGTCAGAATGTTGTCATAGGGCTAGCGGCACAACATATAGTTTCGATATCGAATGTAATCACATTTATATTGCAATATATAAATCACAGAATTTAAAAATATTGCAATGTTTGATTTTTCTAATATCGTGCAGCCTTAATTTGTCTAATCTCATTCATACATTTACAAATAAATTGTTCATCTCCCAATGACGGTTGGTTTAGGGGTGGGGATTGGTGCCATGCCTCCTTTTAAAAATCGTAGATTTTCGTGTGACTGAACTCAGTATAAATTAGCCAAAGTGCCAAAATGTAAAATAGTTACATTTCCTCGTGACATCAGGCTGACCACAAGGAAAGTGTCAGTTTAGTGACTAATTCATACTAAGTGAAGTTTCACAGACTAATTTCAAGAGTTCACACTAAGCTGATAATTGATTATAAGGTGTGTTTAGCATGCTATGCCAGGAGAGAACCCTGAGCTCATAAGATCCCCAAGCCCAGGGCTTCCTCCCGTTTGAACTCAGGTAGGTCTCAAGACCTCTCCTGCTATTTGTAGATGAACAATTAGGGATTGCTATAAAGAGATAACTACTTACTAGGAGCTCGTCTATGGTGCTGATTTTGGACAGAAACATCAACTGGCTTGACGTTCTTGCAATAAGGGAACAGTGCTAACCACTGGGCCGCCAGGCAGCCTATATAGGAAAGGAGGAGGAGTAGGGGTTGAAGGGGGGATTCTTCAAAACGAAGATGACAGTGGTATTGAACTTAGATCAGTCCTAAGTCAACATAAATAACCTGATTGGTGAATCATGAATTGGCTAATGCAGGACCAGCCGTGATCAATCATCACAAGATCCTCTTAAAATTTGTTTTTAAATAAACTTCACTTCACAAATTCACTATAAATAGCCCGTCTAGCATTACTCTCGTTTTTTGAAGAATCCCCTCATCCACCCTATCTCCTCCTTTACCAGGGTGAGCTCTCAAGAACTACCTGATCTCGTACCTCTTTACATTGACCAGGCGGTAGCCCTGGGCTTAATTATCTCTGAGCTCAGGGTTCTCTCCCGGGGCATAGTGCCAAACTGCTAATATTATCAAGCAATATCTAAGTGTGAACTCTTGAATTCATACAGGTTTAGTCATACAAAAACATACAATTTATAAAAGCAGGCGTGGCACCAAACCACAACCCTAAACCCAACACTCATTCGGAGATGTGTAAATCATACTAAAAATAAAAGAGAGATCATACAAATTCATACAAATTAGCCACTAAGACAAAAAGTTACAAATTGGTATGAGATAGAATTGAATTATGCACAGGTCAACTTCCTGAAATGCCATATATGGGCAATCAGGTGAGACACAGGGTACTAATTAGGGCAATGGGTTACAGATACAATATTGCTGCTCATTTTTACAGTTTTTCTCAGCCGCTTTGTTACATTTCTGAAATTATGTGCAATTCTCTGATGTTTCCTACATTATTAACTGCTTATATCATGTTGATCAAAATGCATTATTTTGGTCTCTGTTGAATAGTCTCAACCCCCACAACATTTAATCCTTTGTTCAAGGCATAAGTCTTTACATGCAAAATAGCTGAACAATATGTCATAATATGTCATAATTGCAATTTTCTATATATTTCTATAAGACTTTTTTTCTAAATCGGTGTACAATTGGTAAATTTCTCCCAGGTGAATCCGGACGCACTGGAATGTGCATCTCAAAGGAGATTGTCATATGTTCACATTTCAACTTTTGTTTTGACTTTGTGCTATGCAGTGTTGTCTTTATACGTGTTGTTTTGAGAAATGCACTCACTGTTTAGCAAATTTTATTTCTGATCTGAGAAATGTACAACCCAAGCTCATTCTGGAAACGTAGCCCCGCGGACGTTTCTGGAGACCGCGATTTAGTTTTTTGAGCGAACGCTGCGGGGCGGTGTTGCGCCGCTTCGCTCCTCCTCCTCACGCTCGCCGGCCGACGGCTCGCCTCCGAGTGGAGGGCTTTCCCGATGCAAACAGTTTGTGCGCTTAGCTCACAGCGTTGCGTCGGCGGAGCGGAGGCCCCGGAGGAGGAGCCGGCCGCAGGGACGACGACCGGGATCGAGTCCGGGGAACAGCGGTTCCAGAAATCAGGTAAGATGTGTGGAAATATAAATTTCTATCATCTAATTTCAAATTAACAATAATCTACGTATAACTGAAAAGTTATATTCTTTGGTTTTTTTAATTATATCATTTCATTAACATCCCAGCTAGGAGAGACATTTAACCTCTATCTCTCTGACTACAGGCTAAGTCAGTGATGCGAATGCTTTAAACGACTCTGTCTTTGTCTTCGGGTGTTGCTTTTATCCTACAGAAACCCTATGTTGATTAACTTGTGTGGTCAGTAGCTGGGCCGTTTTTTAACACCTATGCCATGCTGACTCCAACTCTTATTTTGCATGCTTTGTTTAGCCATATCCCCTCCTCCTAAGAACACAATATAGCCATGAAATCTTTGTCTTAATTCAGACTTGTGTGAGACTTGTGAAAGAACTTGCAGACTGCGGACCTCTAGTAGGCTCTTGCAGACACACGGACATCTTAAAGACGCTGTATGACTGCAGATTAACCAACACGTCTCAATAAAGGAATTCTGCTTGTTTCGAGTCTCCTGGACTGGGTTCTTCTCTTCTTTTCACTCATTTATTTTTTTTTTTTACAACAGATGAAAAACAGAATCCGAAAAATAAGGGCGAGAACGCGGCGCTTGGGTTTAGGGAAGGAGGAAGAGGAGGAGGAGACGCGAAAAAGCGTGCACAGCGGCCTCTCGCGGATCCGCGAAAACAAGAACCGCTCGAATACGTACCTCCCTGGACGTATCTCGCGGTACGCAGAAACGTCCGCGGGGCTACGTTTCTACAATGAGCCCGGGTTGGAAACGTACCAAAATGACTGAGAAAAACTGTAATAGAGAAGTAGCCAAGCAACATTGTTCTTTCAAAATTGCTCAGCAACATTGTTTAAAAAGTTGCCTTGTGTATGATCAGCATTACATTTGCACAAAATTAAGATGAAAATTGTATGATAAAAAACTAATTTAACATAAAAAAACTGTAATATTGCTTTATACTTTTTTTTACTTGCACTTTAGAAAGTATACTGTTTAAAAACAAAATCTGACTAATTTACGCTTTACATTTAGGTTTTTTTTAAGTGTAGATCAGAATAAGCATGTTTAATTATTACATATATAAATCTGTTATGAATGACAATAGGACAGTATTGCACCCGTTTAATTTCACTATAAAAATATCTTATTAAAAAACATTAATGTAGACATTTTACTTGCATTTCTGTACAAAAAAAATGCATTTTAGTAGATGTATGGTGTCCAACTTTCAAGCATAACTTAAGGTCATCTCCCATGTTACACAAAGAAGAAGTGAAAGTCACTGTGGAAAAAAAAAACATCTGCTTTTCTTCACAGTGTTGTTAAAGTAAATGCCCATTCAGTCATGAGCCGTAAACTTTAACATTAGTTTACACTTCTTCAACCAAACAAATCTGCCTTAGGATGACTTTAAAACAGCACTAAGCGATTTCTGGGAAATGCTACTGAAAATTAAAATCAGCATAACAAACATTCCTTTACTCATAATTCCTCCACCCCACATTAACGTACAAAGCTATGCAACACAGGCAACATCTGTGCAAAGTCATTCAGAGGACATTATCTTACTTTACAGACACAATTTTTGAGCCAAAACATGAGGAGGAGGTTTAGAGTAGATCTAAAACGTTACTTGTGTAATTAGAAGAAATAAAGCAACTCAGAGTTCCTACTTCGTAGCTCTCTGAAGACATATAAATGATTATATAAACCTCTTAAACCTTATTTTTACATCTCGATCATCTTTTTCTCAGTTGTTTCAGTTCAGATATGCCCTTAAAACTTTTTCCGGCATCCACTATTCAACACTGTTTATCAAAAATCCCTCACTACACATTTTAAATGTGTTTTTTTGAGAGATTAAATCAAGGAGGAACAGAAATGCTGTCATTGCATACGCATTCTTGTCCTGGTGACGCTGAATTAACACTGATAATGGGAGCCATGTGTTTTTCCCTCCAAATGGCCCTGTGCTTTCCTTCCATCCCAGTACTGTTTTCATCTGTTTTCACAAAACCGCTCACAATTATCAAATTCCACACTCGTAATAAGCAGCTGCTTGTATTTCTGAATCTCACTGCCTTCAATATAAATCGCACATAAACGTCTCTGCAGTGCAATATTGTGAAATTCACTGTGTTTGTTTGTAATGTGGTGGCAAATACATGTACGCTATCTGACAAGAGT